TATTACTTTAGAAACCATTTTTATTTAGGTTAGAAATTGGACGATAGTTCTTGAAAATTTCATGGTTAAGAGAAGGTTTTTTCAACAGAGGGCGCAGTACAGCAGTTTTCAAAGTTGACGGGACAGATCCAGATTTAAGTGATAGGTTTACAATTTACAAATAACAGGCAATAACAAACCAAGATTTTGACGGCAAAGATCAGCAGGAATAGGATCGAGGCTACAGGACTTAGATAACAGCTTTTTACATAGAACAAATACATCTTCATCATTGACAGGCATAAATGAATCGAGACAGCAATCTTTAGAAGAAGAATCCAGATCAACGAAGATATCAGAATCAGGAAGGACACGAGTTGACAGTTCATCTCTGATGGTGGTTATCTTATCTTCAAAGAAGTGAGCAAAATTATTAACAAGGACTTGCATTGAAGGTGCACTAGGAAGTTTTCTTTCTGGAGTTCGATGTAGAAGCTTATTTATAGTTGAGAATAAGGTTTTATTGTCACAGCCAGAATCATCAATCAATTTAGAATAATAAGACATTTTGGCAACATAAATGAGATCAAATTCGATTTTCCTTTGTTTTTCATAGGGTTCTTTGTCAATAGTTAGTTTTGTTTTTCGCCAACGCCTTTCGAGTCTTCGACGTTTTGTTTTGTTTTCTCTGATGACGTCATTATACCAGGGAGCCCGGGGACGAGTTGAAATTATTTTAGTTCGAAGAGGTGCATGTTTGTTTAGTATTTCGGCAAGAACAGCGTCATATTGGTGGCATAAAGCAGACAATTCAGTAGCGGGCGACTTGCACAGCATCGACTTAGCAATGTCTTGGCGAAAAGCATCTAAATCAATGAAGCAAATTTTACGATAGGAGACAGTACGTGACTTGCAAATAGGTTTGACAGCAGACAGCGAACAATGAACAGCAAAGTGATCAGACAGAACAGGATCATGAATAAAGAAATTACGAAAGAAGACATCATCAGTTCTTGTTATCAAAAGGTCAAGAGCATGGCCTTTCTTGTGTGTAGGGGAAGTCGTGTCGATGCAGTGTAGAGAAAAACAGTCAAGTAGATCCAAAAATTTCTTGCTTGAATTGTCATTTTTGTCATCGACATGAACATTAAAGTCACCATAAATTAAAAGCTTACCAGGATAAATGGACAACGGTTTTAACAATGAGGAGAAGTCTTGAATGAAAGATCCAAACGACGAGGAAGGAGGTCGATAAACAACAACAACACAAAAAACTTGGTCATGCGAACGAAATTTCAGCTCAATGGATTCAAAGGAATTATAAACAGCAGATTCACATAGTTTTACATTGAAGGAATTACGATAAATAACASCCACACCACCACCTGAACGATTTTTACGAGGAAGATGAGAAATAGAGTAGCCAGAGGGACACACATCACGGATTTCAAAGTCAGAGTCATCTTTTAGMCATGTTTCAGTCACAGCAAATATATCAAAATTATGTTCAACAATATAGTCTTTAACACGAAGGGTTTTCTTATTCAAGGATCTTGTATTTAGAAGACAAAAACGAATGAAATCTTTACTTGAAGGTATGGATGCAGTTTCAGATGGAGTCTTGTTTACTGGCGAAGAATTTCTGCGAAAGCGACGACCAGCACGTTTACCACGRAAGCGAAAAATATTTAATTCTTTAAGCAGTGAACAGCAATTTGGAGTTTTAATTGTAGACTGGCGGTGAAATTTATAGAGATCAGCTGAAGAATGAGCTATTTCAGGAATCCGACGAGATCTTGAGGAAGAACACAAAGCAGAATTCAAATTTGATAGATCAACGGACACATCATGGATCATTGAAAAATTATGCGGAGCTCCATTAACTTGATTAGCATGCAAAGGAGAACGTTTACTTCACAGAGTTTGACAATTAGACGATGAACAATTCAACGAAGCACAAAACGATGATGAGTTACAGGTAGTAGACAGCACAGATGTGGAATTCAAAATTAACGGTGATTGATCAGAGTTACTTTTAGACGTTGTAGGGCCAAGATTAAGTTCAATGTCCATAGAAATAGTAATATCAGTCGGCGGGTCATGTCCAGAAATTGTAACAGCAAATGAGGACTTTTTGAAACCAGTAGAAATCAACTTGATACACTTGAAACGTAACGGACGATAGGACGAAAACACAAACTTTACAATAATACGTGCAGAAACCAATGAAGAGGACGAACAATTATGATCACATTGACCATAACTTTTAAACTGAATGTAGGAATTTAAAGATAATAAAGCCAAAACAAAATAAATAACAAGAGTATGCACACGCAATTTGAGGCGCGCGAGGTACACTATTGAAAGTCGTTTCACGCCAATGATGTTGCTTGCGGTGTTCAAGAAAGTACAATACAAGTTATTGAAGCATCGCTTGGCACAAATGAATGTACGTTTTACGCTAATGAAC